CGCCCAGCCCCATCTTTCCACCAATAACCTACTTGTGCTTTCACGAGGATAATTTTGCTGGTAAGCCAATCAGCTAATCCCATCTTCCCTGTCATGCTGCCCCGGCAATGCTTTCCTTCATGGTTTCTTTCCCGGATCCACCAAAACTAGGAAAAGGCAAAAAAAGGAAATGGTATTTAAAAGAGCTGGGAAGAAAGACTTCAGTTCCTGTTGTTGGATGAGTCGAGGAGCTGAGCTCTGGAGTTGTGTCGAGACCTTGGGACAGCTGCAGACAGTAGACCAAAGGGTGCAACACAGAAAGGTGAGGAGTAAAGTAAAAGAATATATAAAAGGCATAAGTAAGCTTTCACGCAGTGATAGTTGTACGACTACACAGATTAGACATTGTGAGCTATATACTCTAGGGTTGTCACAGGATTGATTTGACGAAGTCAGAGAAAAAGACACCAAACAAAAGAGAACAACCAGCCAGTGAGATGAGGATAGATGAGAATGCAAATAGAAAAGGGAGTAGCCAAGAAGCTATTCTTTTAACTTTCTCGCGGTGCTTTGGTTCGTTTCCGCTTGGAGAAAATTTGAGCAGTGGACAATGATGGTCAAAACAAGGTCCAGAAGGGGCTCTGACGTCATCAGCCTATTGCAGAGCTGCGGCATCCAGGCGAATTTGCAAAAATTGCAGATAAAGGGGTTGCTAAACAGTTTGTGCCCGCTACGTCACGCGCGCTTTTGCAAGCCCTTTTCACAGTCAGTGGGTCACAGCCAGACTCTGCACAGAGAGAGCCATAGAGATAGAGAGATAGATACAGAAGCAAGAAAGAAGAAAAGGAAAGGAAAGGAAAGGAAAGGAAAGGAAAGGAAGAAAGGAAGAAAGGAAGAAAGAAAGGAAGGAAGGAAGGAAGGAAGGAAAGGAAGGAAAGGAAAGGAAGGGAAGGGAAGGAAAGAAAGAAATAAATGAATAAAGAAAGAAAATACTAGAAATAAAGAAAATAAATACATAACGAAAGAAAGATCGATAGATAGAGAGAGAGAGAGAGAGAAAAAAAACCAATGCGAAAAAAGCGGGCAAAGGAATTTCAGAGACACGACACCAATATTGTTATAAAACAAAGAAGAGGTGTTCACGGCTTGTTCCAGCTCCAGGAGGCCAAGCTGGAGGCCGCCATCAAGGTGGTGGCAACCTCAGAGCTTTAATATTTCATGTGGATCAGGATGCAAGAAAAGAAGAAGCATACCCGTCCGGCAACTGTTTCGCTTGCCTAATGATCCTAATCAGTTTTCTATCCCTTTGGTCCATGACATGATTTGATGTCGGCTGCTTCCAATAGGCCTGGGCTTCAGCACGGGCCCTCAGAGTGCTCCTTTCTAGAATGCCCACAAACAATTGTGTCCAAGAAGGTCGGGAGCATTAAAGTAAGATTTGGAGATTGCCAGTTCAGAAAGGGCTTCCCAATCAATCTTTCACAACACTCATTTGAAATTTTCTCGCCTTTAACATACAATTATATAGTCCTTTGTATTGATATGCAACGCACCGATGCATCCCCCATGCAACATGTCGGATCAACGGGGGGGGTTGCCCGGAACTCAGCATTTTCATCGGTACCAATACCTTGTCATTTGGCCTCATAACATTATCCAAGGCAAAACCTCGCGGTCGATTTCACCACATTGTGATCAACTTCACCACGTGGTCAGGGTCACATTGGTCACTGATAAAGACACTGTTCATTGTCAATTCATCCTCATCGATTGAGGGTGTGATCTAATTGGGGTGGGAGGTGGGCCATCAGCTCAATGCAGACTGAGAGTGAGGAGTCTCGGCGTTTTGTTAACGTATTGATTGCAGGTCGCGGGCGCCCACCTCGTTTGCCCATCATGTTGTTCACAACTTGCAGCTTGACACTCTTCGATGACAATTGTCCCAGCGTTCTTTCAAGCCCTGCCATGCCAAGAGAATTAGGACTCTACCCAGCCCACCTGCGCAGCAACAGCAAAGCATACACCATACGCCACCCAACCCAAGTTGCAGGACTATGTCATGAATTGCAGGCCTCAAAGTATATACTGACACAATGCCACACTGAGCATGGCATATTGAGGCACCTTTATACAGCCAACAGTTCAACATCCACACCGCGACAAAACTTGGCCAACCTATGCGACACACACACACACTTATTGAATTGCGTACTGATGTGAATGCGGTGCCACACGCCGGCCTGAGTTTAAAAAACCTGAGATACCAGGAGAACAAGTAGTAAGTTAAAGGCCATCGCTTTTAGGTTGGAGGCCATTGCAAGGAAGTTGGAGGCCAGCGCCTAAGGTTGGAGGCCGTCGCTAGTAGGTGGTAGGTAGTATGCAC